ATCCACGTATGTGTGACATCCGTGTGTATGTGAGAGATCGTGTACCTATGAGAGAGATTCGTGTATCCGTGAGATCGGTGTCTGTGAGGTCCATGTGTGTGAGAGATCCGTGTGTGGTATCCATATACATGTGATCTGTGTGTGATCCGTGTGTGTGTGATGCCTGTGCGATATCCGTGTGTCTGCCCCGTGTCCGTGTGGTGTGTGCGAGGCAGAGCGCGGCTGTGGAGGCTGCGGGGCTGTCGGAGCCGGCTTGAGCCGGGTGTGCGAGAGCCCTGACGGGGGCCCGGGGTCGCTGCTGGCGAGGCTGAGGCGCTTGGCCGTGAGGGGCAGCCGGGCTGCGGCGCCGAGAGAAGCCGGCGTGAGGCGATGGGCGCTCGGCTGTGTGAGCACGGTGCGAGCGGAGCTGTGCGCTGACGCAGCGGCCCCGCAGGTGTGAGCGGAGCTCGGTGCCCGCGAGGGGCGGTGGCGTGTGCCCTTCCCCGGGGTTAAACCGGAGCAGCCTCTCCGCGGTCCTTCCCCAGCCTGCTCTCTCCTCGCCAGGTGTGTATTTGTGGCACTCCGTGTTCCGCAGCGCTGTCGGAGCGGGCGGTGCTGCCGCACTGCCCGCGGCGGAGCCTTCCCGAGCTGCTGCTTTGTCAAACCGGGACTTCATGCCGGAGCGTTCTCACGGCTCCTTTCAGCTGAGCCCTGGCCGTACCACTTTGCCCCAGGGACATCTGTAACTCTGCACTGAATGCAGGCTAATTAAATAGAGAAAGGATTTTTTTTTTTTTAAGGCCACTTCAAACTTTTAAATGCCAAGTATTTCCAGCGTTTGGCTGTTTCACAAGAAGACAAACAATTGGACTTCAAATGAAAAGTATTTTTATGACAAGGAAATACAATTTATTCATTGTTCAGGATTTTGGTTTCCAAGTTTGTTTCTGTGTCATATTTTGTCTGAAATCGAATATTTATAGAAACCTTTTTGTTCATGTTCAGCATCTTTTCAGGAAGGCTCTCCTACCAATTTATTGCAAAGTCTGTTTTTGTAGGGTGTATCTAAATGTAAAACTTAACTTAAGAAAAACCTAACCAAACAAAAATACACTCTCCCCGGCCCATAGTGTGAGCACTTAGACACACCTGCCACATCTTCACACAGAATTCTGAGTATGTTACAACTGACAAAATTGAACTAACCTTACAAGTTTTGGTAATAGAATAGTCATGTAATCATTAAATCTTCTTTAACTTACAGTGAAAAGGAAAAAGAAGTGCTAGTGCAGTGGGAACCACGCTGCTTTTTGTGGTCTCCTTCTGCTTCTGCATTTCCCTTTTTGTCTCATTTTAATCAAAAAAGCAGCCTTTATTGTCATAAACTCTTTATAGAAGGAACTGTCATTAATAGAAGCTTATACAAACCTTACTAAAATAGAATCTCAAATAAAATGGAATTACTATTCCTGGTAATGTTAGTTCAGCTAAGCTAGGGTAAATATAAATGCACCTACCCACTGTATATTTGTTCATGGTTTTCTAATTATTCCTTGTGAACAATATCCTTTTCCAACATGGGACAGAGATTTGACCCTGGTATAAATTTTTTCCTACTTACTTCAGATGGAGTTGGACTTGTCTATGCCTCAGCTGAATTCAGCCATACAATCAGTCCACATTTGTGGTTCTTTTTAGTATAAGGAAAAACATTGAGAAAAATACAGATTCTGAATGCTCAGTCAGGGTTTAAGACCTCTCTTCTTTTGTGCAGTAGATTATGGTTAACTTCAGAACTTGTTGCTAGTTGCTCTTACAAACTCACTCCAAATCTCATAAACTAACTTAAAATTATTTCTCAAAGTGGGGGCTGAATGAACAAAGACGTCAATAAAATACATGGTGTGAAAATTTAGTTATTGGCTGGTTTTTGTGTTCCTGGTTTATGTTTCCATAGTGTTCTTAATAAACAGATGCTCAGTAAGCTCTTAAATTCTTTATTCTCAGAAAATTACCCAAGCAAAGGCTACAAGGAATTTAGGCACCTAAAAACTTTTTTGTGTCGAGTATTGCCCTTAATTATCTGAAGGGAGAAATTATTTAATTAATAAAGATAATTTGATAAGATTTTTGGTAGCCAAATTAACTCTTTCTAATTGGTTAGGATATTTAAAGTAGTTTATATTATAACAGTATATATTGTAACAGTATATATAACAGTTTATATTATAACAGTACCATCTTTTAAGCTTCAGAAAGGCTTGTTCAACAGAGATTGTTTCCAGGTTGTGAACAGAGTAACATTATGGTTTTTTATTGTGAATATTGCTGTGAAATTTTTAATATAAAAATGTTTTATGTGATATGGTGCTTAGAGAGCAGGGAGGTTCTGACCATAGGAAATAAGGTGCAACAGCTGGAAAAATGATGAAGGATGGGTGACTGGGAATGGATAAATTATGTTCCCTGAGGACTGCAGTCAAAACTAGAAAATAGAGTGCAAATGATAAAATCTTATTAAAGAAAAAGAAAAAAATCAGTCAGAGAAGGGAAAAAGCAAAGACAATATTAATAGAAAATTGGATATAATATCAGGAGAGGAAAAAAAGCCCCCAGTAGAACCGGAGAGAAAATGAAAGGAGATGCAAGAGACTGAGATCTACTGGAAAGGTTAATTGAGCTTTAGAGTGGGCACTGATGGAAGATGGAGTATGTGAATTGCCATCTTTTTTATTAAAACGTGTATGTGAGTTTTTTAAATTGCAATCATTCCATTTAGGAAATCTAGATGAAGTGCAGCAGGGGGAATACTTCCAAAGGCTGTAACTTGCACAACAGTCAATCTCTCCTGGGACCAATTGCCTATAATGTCAAATGACACAGAATGAAGGTTCAGATCTGGAGTAAAACTCACAAATGATTAAGTAGTCATATGAATGACTAACTGATAAACTGGAAGTATATCACTTCAACACTTCTTTAATAATATTCTTAATAAGATAAGGAAAGCAATATACTAAAGGGTATTCAGCAAGTGGACAAAGACTGCATCTGACATAAAGGCTATCTCATCAAACACTTAGGGAACATGACACAGTATGGAATCAGTGATTGGGAAAAAACAGGAGTGTTTGTTTCACCAAGCTGCAATGACAAGAATGTGACTGAAATGACACATACCTCATCAAAAAGATCTGAATGGAGGGCTGTAGAAAAATGGGTTTCAGAAATTCATCTTCTACACACTCCAGTCCTGCTGACACTGATTTCGAGCAAGTATTTTCCTTTACTTGTGCCTCAATTTTATTTTTGCACAACAGGAATGTGCAGTTGCCGCAGAATGATTGAAACTTTCACGTTTCCATAGCATTGCCCTGCAAGTGTGATAACTGTAGCTCACTTCCATAGGAGAGCTTAGGAGCTAATGCACTTAGGTTTTATGTCAAACTACCAATTTTAAATAAGCTACTTCATTATGGGTCAAATTCTGAAATTCTTTCTAAAACAATATTTTAGCTTGAGTAAGAGTTTTACTTACATGAGATGGTGAGATGCAAACAAAGTATATTGAGAAGAGGCTTGCAAGTCTTTTGGATAACCATGTAAAATGTATCATTGTACAATATATGGTAAATACTGTATGAAATTAATTGTGATAACTCATGTATGCTTTGTTAAAAGCACATAAAGTACCTTGTTTAAAATAAGCAGTTCGTGCTCACCTAGTCAGGTTTGAGGTTTCCCCCCCCGCCTTTTATATTCTAATAAATAACCCAAATACTT